TTGAAAATTATCTTTATTCTTGAAAAGTAACATATATTTATTATAATAATTCAAAAAACAAATAAATACACAAGGAGGAAACTTCAAATGATAAAAATGTTTATAATGGATAAAAACGTTTCTCCTACCTTGGGTTTCTCAGGTTGCCAACAGGAATTTTTTTTTCTTTGTGGCAGGCTGGTACAGGGATCAAACCCTGGACCTGGGTGTTATCAGCACTATGTTTTAACCTGGTGAGCTAACCAGCCAGCTCCCCCACCAAGGGTATTTTTAAAGTACCCTTCCAGATATTTTCTGTGCATATACATGCAGACATATCAGCAACAGATATTTTTAATCTAGTCACAGTAAATGAGAAATAGATTCACATCCATTTATTTTGCAGTCCTGCAGCAGCACCTCTAGATTCTTCATTGTGTGGTACATCAGTGTGTTTTTCTGAAACTCCTGGATGAAGTACAGTTAGGTCCTCATGCTCATGTCCCCCAAAGCTGTACTTTGAGAAAGCAAGTGTTATAGAGAATTGGGGGGGGGGAAAGACATGTTTTTTGGGGGGTTAATGAAAGGTCAGCTTAAATGTAAAACCTTGCTTCATACTCCCTGAAAGAATTAATGGCCCAGAACTCTGTAATAATTAAGTTTGATCGTTCTTCATTTTAGCAGTTACTACTAGTCTTATAGGTAGCTATATCTGGGTATGTCATCCCCAAGAGAATATGAGTTCATTGAAGAGCCAGTCTGTGTCTTGTACTGATTCTGACACATTGAAGGTATTTAACATGGGTTTGATGAATTGAGGAAGCATCCAGAGCAGACCAGAGCATCTGTTCTCTCCACCAGGGACAGAACTCTGATTGAGGAGGTGAATATTCATGCATTCATTCTTAGAGTAGAGGATGGAGGAGTAGGAAGAAGAACGTGAGATCCTGGGCAGGAGAGGTCAGAGCTGAGCTGCGGAGAGATGCCAGTCTGCAGAGACCTAGATGGTGTGTCAGTGTCCTAGGGCTGCTATAACAAAGTACCACGAACTGGGTGGCTTAAGCAACAGAAATTTATTGTCTCACAGTTCTGGAGGCTACAAGTCCAAAATCAAGGTGTCTGCAGGGTTGGTTCCTTCTGGGGATTCTGAGCGGAGGATGTGTTCCAGGCCTGTCTCACTGGCTTGCAGATGATCATTTTATCCCTGTGTCGCTTGATATCATCATCTCTCTGTGCATGTCTGTGTCCAAATTTCCTCTTCTTATGAGGATACCAGTCGTATTGGATTAGGGCCCACCCTAATGACCTTATTTCAACTTGATTACCTCTGCAACAAACTTGTCTTCCAAAATAAGGTCCCATTCTGATACAGTGGAAGATAGGACTTCAATATATGGATTTTTAAGGGGACACAATTCAGCTCATAACAGATGGGTTGTAATGCTGGGCTTTAGTGCTTTTCCAAACTCACCCCGTGCCAGTGTGCCCGCTCACCAACTGCAGCTGTCAAAATATAGGCTCCTTAAAGAAATGCAAACGCTGGGAGAGTGTGTGATTATTGCTTTTTATCCTCTCATTGACAACTTAGATTATTGACCCCAGAGGGTTTTTGTGTGGTTTGAAGCACCTGCTAGTCTCCCTGCACTGGAACCTCCTAAGACAAAAGCACGGAAGCTGAGCTGTAGGTGACCATCAGGACCCACTGCCCTCGTGATTTCCTCTCTGGTTTCTTCTTTTTATTCCCTTCCTTTACTCTGTTGCTTGTCTGAACATTCACCCTTTGGCCCTCATGGCTAGTTCCTCCCCTTCATCTTTATTGCCCTGAGTTATGTTCCTTTTACTGTAACTAATCACTTTTTTCACGTTCTCTTTCAGGAAGGATAAGGAAATTGCAAGCAGAGTATGTTCCTTTTGCTGGGTGATTCCAACTGTATCTTTCTGAATTAACCTCAAAAATCCTAAAATGTGAAGACATCTGCCTGATAGGTCATTGAAAGAAGGAATTATTTTTATGTTTTAGAATAGTTTCTGATTAAACTTCTTGGCTCGAGAAGAAGAGAAGCTAGTTGTTTTTCACCCAGCAGTGGATTTATGGTTTGGCTTCTCCATGGCTTCCTGCCGTGCCTGTGATCTCAAGGTCCTGGTGACCACTGTGTGCGGACTGCTGACTGTTGTCACTTTGGGACTCAGTTTCTGGAGGATTGTGGTCAGGACCCAGAGAGGTAATGTCATCCTGCTATATTTAACTGAGAGTGAGGGAAGGCATCGAGTCTCTGTCTCTGCCACCTGACACACCAGTACTGCAAAGTGCCTTGTCCAGGCTGAGGCTGCCCACCAAGGTGGCACGTATGAAACAAAAGACAAGTGTTGATTAATGGCTAGCAGAGGATTGTATATGTAAGAATATGTGTGTGAGTATGAATGGGAGAGTGAAGAATGAGACGGTTAAATTGGCCTCTTTATGCTCTTTTAACTCCAGACTGAATTGATAGCAGAGTAATAATTAAAAGCATTAATAACACGTTTGCAGGTTTGTTTAGCTAAATCCAAGAAAGGTTAATAGTTGTGGACAGACATACACACACAATCAAACATGTACAGAATGGAGTTTCATTTCAAGAAGGAAGTTTAGGAATATTATCACTAAGGTTGTAAATGAAATGATCTCATGGTCTATCCACAAATTTCCCCCTTTCTAGGTAGAGAAAACAACTCAATGATTAAGATAATTAAAAAGTTACTTTCTGGGTTGTTCAACAAATATTTGTTAGTCCCCTGCCATGTGCAGGAGCTGACATGGGAAAGGATGGGGGAGGGGCGGTAGTGTGTAAAACAGTGATGTTACAGGAGAGCCCTTGGGAACTCATACCAGAAACTTTCAGTCATCCTAATTCTGGTTTCCTTGGGCTGCAGAGATTCTCCAGAAAGGGATTC